GAAAACAAATACAAAACCCCGCACATGAAGAAAGCTACACTTGCTAGAGAATACCGTCTTCCTCTTCAACTAAGTTGTGATGTTTCATTGGTTAAAAGTGTTATGAACACAGTAGTATCATCTTCATGATTTTTAGATTTCAAAATGTTGAACATTTGTTTATATTTTCCAGATTTTTTGGTGTTTAATTATTCAGATCTTTGTGAGTTTTTTTAACTTAAAATAATATTGATTTTATAGTTATTGAGAGTTAGTATTGTGTTTATGTGATTAAAATTGAGTATATCTTAAGTTTATGTGATCAAATTTTAAATTATTTTTTTGTACTACTAATAATTTTTAAAATAAAATTATTTGCATGAAACAACAAAATAACAAAAACAGAAATGTGAAATTATATTTCACATATTTATTATTATTAATTTGTAATAATACAATAAAACTTTTTGAATTTAAAAGGAATGCAGAAAATAGATCTTTAACATTTCAAGTATAGCTTCTTTAATTCCTTTATGAGGATGGACCTCTCCTTCATCATAAAACAACAATTTATTCAAATAAAAGTCACGGTTGACACGAAAATAACTCTTGTAAACCGGGAGATCATCTTTGTCTTTTCTCTCTTCTTCTTTCTTCATTTTAAGTTGTAAAGTTATAAAAACGAAAGAAATAAAAAAGTAGATGTTTGAATATATAATGTGTTGTAGAACTATTCAATGCTTTGGAAATAGTATATCTCTCGTAACACACCACAATATTCATACGAGTATCACATTGAAATCTGATCTTTTTTACTAGAAATTATGTTATAATTATAAGGGTAGAAATATCATTTTTGTCATAAGTTGTAGGGATTTCCGTAAACATCAACTATATTAACACCAGAAAAAGATAATAGAATGTCAATTATAAACGAATGAAAGAGGTATATTATATGATAATTTATTTTTTATATATATTTTCTGTTGAACAAGATACTAATTGAAATATCGAAGGCAAAATAGTAACATCAGAAGATGTGTGGAAATTTCATAACACCAAAGTGACTGTGCATTTTATGAACATAGCAGCCAACCAATTGGAGAATCATGAGGTTTACTAAGATCATTGTTAGGTCAATTAAATAATGATGTGAATTTTCTATCCATTAACTATAGTGACTAGAGGTTGGTTAATCCTCAAATTAAAAAAAGGCGTGGGAAGTAATTCAGGTAAAACATAACATGTATTCATCTCTATCATTTGTTCTAATCTTAATATATTTTAAGATTTACTTTGGTCTCATGAATCCTTGTAGGCTTTATTATTTCATTCCAAATTCAGGATCAATGATCCATAAATGAGAAAAGTATTTGTGATGGGTGCATTAGGTAACAGATGCAAGGATGTCAAACTATGTCTTTGGAAAGAATATAAACAGAATAGTTTATGTGAGACATTGCAGAATCAAAACAAAAAAGGTTCTAAAAAAGCAATGGGTCATTTCGTCCACATAAGATTCACTGAAAAATGAAAGGTATGAATTATTTGTTAAATATTTATATTAGTAAATTTAGCTTTAATATAAAGTTAATTTAACAAACTGATATTCTACATTTTTATGCATGTATTTTTTTACAAAGAAAATCAACACAGAAAAAAACATCATGTAGAGCGGAGTTTTCATCGAGACTCGCACAATACCTAGTGGAAGCTTTGTATGTGAAGAAATAAAAAAATGTGTGGTTATATTTATGTTAAATACCATTGATTGATGAGTTAAATATATTCAATATTTATCTTTTATTTTTTTATTAAAAAACACTTACTTAATTGTTGAGCCAAAATCTGCACATCACAAAAATTGTACAGCTAGCTTGGATGACGAATATGCACAAGTTTTTTGATCCATGGCATCAAAGACGAGTGGGATCTGTTAGTCGTGGATCTACACCTTTAAAGTTAGTGTACTGCTCAACTGCCACTAGACCAGATATAGAAAATTCAGAAATTGTCGTTGGCCTAAAGTCACAAGAAAGAGTTATCAGATCAAGTTAAATGAATATGTACATTAATCGAACAAATAATTTGTTCTTCTTCTGATGAACAAGTAATAATATCATATATATAATTTAAGTTACATTGTTATACTTTGATATAAAAAACTAATATATTTTGAACTAAATATTTAGATAAGAACACGAGATACAAGATTTGTTATTACTTTTGATAACATATCATATCCAACGTTTGCCAGCATACCATCACCTAATACAAATTAGGTAAAGTGTATTTATACTTTAACTATAATAAATAAATATTCAAATGATTAATATATTTGTTATATAATTCTATTTTGGGAAAAGAAGTAATGATATTGATGGATATATTCAAATGATAGGAGGATGTAAGATGTGGTTGCTAGTATTTGCTTAACAATGTTTTCAATAACTTTAAACTATTTATGTTTTACGAATTTACATGATGAAAAAACTATGTAATTTGTTTTCTAATACATTAATTACTTTTGGGTTTGTTTTTAGCCAATTATTTTATTAATATATATATAAATATATCGTATATATTCTTAAACGTTTAAAACTGATATTTCCGTCCTATGAACCTTAAGGTGTTTAAATATTTAATATTAATGTATATTATAAATATTTAAATAAAAATAAATATTTGTATCATTTCTATATGTTAAATGTATTAGATCATTTTTAAAAATTGATAAATTAGTTTCATTTATGTACAAATGATAATAATATTTTGAGTTGATAATTGTAAATTATACAATTGTTAAAATCATTTCTGAAAATTGATATAAGTTTAGAATTGCTTATGTTTAAACAGTATTTTTTTAAATCGTTTGTTGTAAATTATACAACTATTAACAACATTTCCAAAATGCGATGCTAAATACATAAATATAGTAAATGATTTAAATATTACAATCAATTTATCAAATCAACACTAATATAAACATAATTTACTAGAATGATATAAATGCTAACATCATTTTTAACAATTGACACATACTAACATCATTTGAAATAATCGATGAAAATATTTGTTATTTAGTACATGGTTCTGTACAAATTGATACAAATTATTTACATCACAAAAAGTAATTTATTTATTTAAATGATGTAAAAATATCTTACATCTTTATAGCTAATACAAATATTAAAATAAATGATTTAAACCAATTTTTTTTTGCTTAACCTACATCTCTGTTTCACAAAGGAGTAACCAAAGTAATGGAAACTGAATCTTCTATTTCAGCATGGAATGATTCGTGGATCCCAACCAAACGTCCGAAATAAGCAGACAATAACTCATTTGTCACGAATTCTTCACTTATAGTGGATCATCTTATTAATCCACAACATGTACATGGAACTCACAATTTATTAGATATTTGGTGAAACCGAAAGATGCACATCTCATTGAAAATGTTCTATTGAGTTAGTTTCAGTGAGTAGATATTGATTAATGGTATTTTACACAGTCATGACAATACATTGTTTAATCAGGTTATGACATTGAAGATCGGTTTCCAAACTCAGGAATACTAATATTTGACATGGATACAAAAAAAAATTTGGAGGCTTATTCATAGAAGATTTGAATGTCCTTCAAAGTTGAAACACTTCCATGTGGTAAATAAATTGAGGATATTCTGCCGGTACGAAATAATCTCAAACAATGAGACCTAAAGTGCGATACTCAATGTGCACAGTGTGGAGGCAAAGGTAGAAACGATAATTCATATGTTGTTTGAATGTCCATCGGCTATACATGTATGAGTATTCCCACCAATCCAAAACATTTTGTAATGCATGCAATTTTTGCAAACATAAATTATTAATTTTGGAGGATTGTATTATATATTGAAGATCACCAATTTACTTGGATTCTTTGATATATTTGGAAGTGGCGAAATGAGAAATTTTTTACTAGATTTGTTGATAAAGATCCGAGAGACACATTACAATTGGTGGAAACAGAGGCAACTCTCTAGAGGGATGTACAATTAGATAAAAAGACCACATGAAATTAGTCTTAAGCTCAACGAAGACATACAAGTTATTCCTTGTAGGATTGGACGATTGTGTTTCACAAATGCTTACTAAAAAATAATAATTTTTTTTTTGAAAATAAGGTTGGTATAACACTTTAGAAGAGCTTGATGATTGATAGATGCCATGAATACTATATCTTTTTTTACCCCTATACGTGGAGATGGAAGCCTTAATATGGATAACATATTGTATGTAAAATCTTCGACAATTCAGTGTCATGTTTGCAATAAATTGTTTTTAATTGGTGAAGATAATCTTAGAATTAGAAAAAAATCTGTTTTTGCAATCGATAAAGACATATTCATTAACTAAAAATTAAATTTACTACTTTTCAACTCACACATGTTCTTAAGACTCAAAATACAAGGATAAATATTATTGTACGTGATGCTTGGAGTTAATCTTCCAATTTTTCATATGGACTGAAAGTATTTAATCTGGTTAGTACAATCTTAATTGAATTTATTTATGTTGCTAACAAAAAAATCATATAATTTATAGGTTAAACTAAAATATTTCGTAAAAGAAAATTAATGAAGAATAAATATATCTCAAAATTTTGTCAGAATTTATAAATTTAAATTTTAATAACTAAATATATGGTTGGAATCTCACTAGCAAAATTAGCTTTAAATATTAGAGATTATTTAGGAAAAGAAAAATTAAAATTTTAAATTTATAACAGAAAATATTAATTTGCTAATACTTTTGAACAGATATATAAAAACATATTAACTGAGAAAAATATTATATCTCATTGCTCAATAAAAACTTTTATTCTAGGAAAAATAGATAAATTAGAAATTTCACGAGTACTAATGAATAATTTTTTTTAAAAATATTAGTCAAACTTTCAGTTTATATAATTTGGAAGTATATTTATATATAATAAATACAGTTTAATATAATAACATAGAAAATAGTTCAAAGAAACACAAAACTCAAATTTTATATTAGAATGAAAGCCACGTCATCGATCCGTGTAGTAAATCGGCACAAAAAGACACTATCAACGGTTAGATTTGAATCACCCACTCATCCCACCTTTCGTCATTTTACATCTCTCTCCAACCTAACCTTTTTATCCCCTCCTCCCACAATTAATTTCAACGAAATTAAAATACGAAATAATTAAAATCCCAAAAAATCAAAAAATCTCAGCACCTTCCATGGATCCTTCTCTCTCTGCATCCAACGATCCTCGCCATCCTCCTCCGTTCACCGCCTTCCCAAACCCCTTCTCCGTCACCCAACACCCCTTCTACAGCAGCCCCGTTAACTCCTCCCCCGTCGCGCCGCCGCCTAACAACAACAACAACAACAACAACCAGTTCTTTCAACCGCCGCCTCCTCATTCAACATGGGTTCACCCTCCTTACTCCGAAGTAACCTCCTTTACTAAGATTCCAACGTTTTGACTTCGTTAGGGTTTTCAAAAAAAAAAGACTGAATTTTTATTTTTATTTTTATTTATTTTCTTGTGTAGATGATTTGCTGTGCGATTAGTGCGTTGAACGAAGCAGAGGGGTCAAGCAAGCAAGCGATATCGAGGTACATCGAGAGAACTTACACAGGGATACCTCCTGCTCACGGAGCTTTGATGACTCACCATCTCAAGTCTCTCAAGTCCAGTGGCGTTCTCGTCATGGTCAAGAAATCCTACAAATTAGCACCTTCTCCTCAGACTTTCGTAGCTGCTGAGCCTCCCAGATCTGACTTCCCAACCAACAATTCAGCCAGCCAGATGCCAGATCTATCTCCGACATCTACTTCTCAGAAGCGTGGTCGTGGTCGTCCTCCCAAGGCCAAACCTGATGTTGTTCAGACCAACGGAAACTCTAAGGAGTTAGCCGTTTCTCGACCTGAACAGATACAGCCGTTACCGCCACCGCAACTTCAACTGCAGGCTCCGCAACTGCAACTGCAGGCTCAGCCGTTGGTTAAGAGACCACCGGGTCGTCCTAGGAAAGATGGAGCTTCGCCGGCAGTGAAGGCTCCTGTTTCCGTCGGCGCGGAGATTGCGAAACGAAGAGGTCGGCCACCGAGTGGAAGAGCTGCCGGGAGAGAGAGGAAGCCAGCTGTTGTCTCAGCTCCCGCGTCAGTGTTCCCTTTGGTTGCTAACGGTGGTGGAGGTGGTGGTGTCAGGCGCAGAGGAAGACCCAAGAGAGTTGACGCTGCTGCTGCCTTGCCACCTAAAGCAGATGGTGGAGTAGGATCACAGGTGGCAGCGAAGAGAGGAAGAGGACGGCCTCCTAAGATCGGTGGTGTGGTGAGGAAGCCTATGAAGCCCAAGAGAGGCTATTTCCGTACTGGGAAACCTGTGGGAAGACCCCGAAAGGTATAATAACTATCTATGTTTACTATGATAATTGTTGAAACCCGAGGCCCTTATATAGCTAGATGTCTTTCAACGTTCCTGGTCAAATGGACAAGAGATAAAGTTTGGAACTTTTGTCTCGTGAATAAATGTCACTGTCTGCTCCGAATATTGTCGCTGGTAGAGAGTATCTTTGATAGTTTCCACAGTATAAATATATTCTTGTTGTCTCTGCTTTTGGCCTACGCTTATTTGGTTTTTGTGGTGCATTATTCATTAATTTAAGGGTTTCTCTTTGTTTGGTAACCGAGAGCAAGTTGTCGGCGGCTAGCTTTATCTTGTATTAATTGTTTTGAGCTACATAGGACATTTAGTTTCTGATGTCTAAACTAGATTGTTGATTATTTTTTGTTTATTAATTGATTTTTAAGTCTTTCTATCATTGTTAATTATCCTCTTGGATCTGTTATATCAATGCGTTATCATTACTTACATCTGTTATCTTGCCTTCTTCAAACATAGAATGCTGCGTCGAGACAACAAGATATTGGCTATGGTGAACTCAAGAAGAAGTTTGAGTTGTTTGTAAGTCGATTAATAAACAGAAACACTATATAATCTTCTCTTGGTTTCATCTTCTGATTTTTTAAAATTTTCCATACTTATGCTGGTTCGTGTCTTTTATACAGCAAGAGAAAGCTAAGGAAATTGTCAATGTGTTGAAAGCTGAGGTTGGAGGAATTGAAAATCAAGCAGTTGTTCAAGCTATACATGCTCTGGAAGAGCTAACAGCTGCGACAACAGAGACAACAGAGGAGCCATGGCACATGGAAGAAGTGCAGCCAGATGTACAACAACCTGGAAATGAACAAGAACCTGAGGGACACGGACAAGGGCTGGCGCAGACAATGCAAGAAGCGCTGTTCTAAAGAGAGAAGCCTTGACAAAACTAATAAAAGCTAGCAAGTGGTGGTGATGATGATGGTGGGCTTGCTTCTTGTGTTTTTCATGAATTGTTAATCTTATAAGGGTGTTTGCAGGAGAAAAGTTAAAAAAAATGATCAAAACGATGGATTGTGTCCTTACCAAACAACAAGGAGAGGTAGGGTAATGTATGTATAAGTAATTAGGATATTGCCATTGTTCATGTACATCTCCCTCTCTACATAATCCATATCTCAGTAGGCATTTGCTTTGTATCCTAATGTTTCTAAGACTCTTTTATTTGTTTTTTTAGACCATTTCCAGTGGTTTCTTCCATTATCTAAGTAGGCTTTTGCATTGTACCCTCATGTTTCTAAGACTATGTTCTTTTTATTTGGTATCTTATACCATTTCCAATCATTTTTTCCATTTTCTCCCTCACAATGAATTAAATTTAAAACCAAAGTGTGATTTATATCAGTGATATTACTTCCTATAATTCCGGATAGGGAAAATAACATAAAAACCTTGGCACTTACTAGCACTTTAAACATTGAATTTATTTAGTTAGTAAATTTAACATTCAACTTGGTTTTTGTATCACAAAAAATTTCCTATTTGGTTTATTTGTTCATCAAATTAAAATTATCACTTGTTGACCTGTAATAGTAGGTTACATGTTGATTTGTTTTATTTTATTTAATTAATAAATACATTTAACAATAAAAACTAATTAAAATTAGAAAATTACAGAAAAAATTTAAAATTAAATTTAATAAAAAAATCAAAATATCTCTAAAAATTTATTTAAAAAATAAAACAACAATAGATGAATAGTCATTCAATGAAAAAATTGAAAAATGCAAAAAAAATTTGAATAGTTAATTTTCTATTCAGAGTAAGCAAAGCATGTCAATACAATTGTCTTTCAAAAGTAAGTAAATAAATACGAAACGTATGTAAGTTTTGCAAAAATATAATTTTTTTTAAATACAGAAAAATTCAAAAATCTTAATTTAAAAAAAAAAATCAAAATATTTTCTTAAGAATTTACAAGTGTTTATTTTTATTCTAAATGATTTTTTTAATTATGAATGTAACTTGTTTATAAAATTATATAAATCTTTAAAATTTTATTTAAAAAATAATAATGAGGATATACCACCAGTAAAAGAAACACTTTTCGTCATATCACAATTAATAATAATGTTTTTTAAATTTTAAAGAGTTTAATTTTGTTGATATCTTTAATGATGATAATTTCTTATATACAAATAACAATGATTTTGACATAATTGTTATTATCGATATAACCAAATATGTTATTCTTAATAATGATATGACAAAGTGTGTTCAAGTTAATGGTGATAATGTTTAAGATTATTTATTTTTTTTGTGAGAAAAATTTATAGCTTTTAGATGATTTTTTTTTTAAAAATAATTTAGTTTGCAAAATTTTCAAATTAAAAACTTTGAAATTTTAAGAAAATATTTTGATTTTTGATAAGTTCAATTTTAGAATTTTTTCTGTAATTTTCGGTAATTTTATTTAGGTTTTTTTTATTGTTAATTGCATTTATTAATTAAATAAAAAAAATCAACATGTGATCTACTGTCGCAGGTTAAAAAGTGACAATTTTAACTTGATGAACAAGTAAGCCAAGTTGAAGGTTTTTTGTGATACAAAAACCAAGTTGAATGTCTAATATGCTATCTAAATAAGTTCAAGGTTTAAAGTGCCAATGAGTGCCACTTCAAAGGTTTTTTATATAAAGGAAGAAGACTGAATACTTTATGATTAGGTATGCAGAGAGTATTTATACAGTATTCTGTGTAGGTTAAATACAACTATTGAGTATTTACAAATAGAGCCTCAGACTATAGTATATTTCCTTAACACGCCCCCTCAAGTTGGTGGTGCTGGAGCAATACCAATCTTGCTCCTTATGCTCTGAAATGGTGTTCGAGACAGAGGTTTAGTCAAGCCATCGGCAAGTTGGTCTTTTGTGGATACGTGGACTACACGCAACACTCCTGCTTGAATCTGACCACGTACAAAGTGAAAATCAATGGCAATATGTTTCATTCTCAAGTGAAACACAGGGTTTGCACACATGTATGTGGCTCCTATGTTGTCATAGTAGACCGTTGGCGTAGTTGGGACCGTGATTCCGAGTTCTGTAAGGAGAGAACATATCCAGCGAAGCTCAGAGGCTGTATTGGCGACAGCTCGATATTCTGCTTCCGTAGAAGAGCTTGCTACCCCTCGCTGCTTTTTTGAAGTCCATGAGACAGGATGCGATCCTATGTAGATCATGTAGCCATTTGTCGAAACATAGTCGTCAGAGTCCCCCGCCCAGTCGGCATCAAAATAGGCATGTAGTGGAGAGGTAGCTTGTTTTTGCAGAAAAATACCGTGTGTTAACGTGCCAGAAAGATATCAAAGAACACGTTTGAGCGCTTGCAAGTGATCAGTAGTCTTCTGGTGCATGAACTGAGACAATCGATTCACTGCGTATGAAATATCAGGTCGCGTAAGAGATAGATATTGTCGACTGCAGACGAGAGTGTGATACTCATGAGGATCCGAGAGGACTGAACCCGAGTGAAGAGTGATCTTCGGATGTGACGGGAGCAGAGTTGCAACAGGTTTGGCGTGGAGCATGTTCGCCTTAATTAGCAGATCAGTGATGTACTTTCGTTGCATTTGATGTAGTCCTTGAGGAGTTCGTATCGTCTCAATGCCCAAGAAGTAACTGAGATGTCCCATATCTTTGATAGAAAAACGATTTCCCAAGCTCGTGATGACCTGTTGTACTAGATGTGAATCATTCCCTGTGACCAAGATATCATCAACATAGACAAGGACGTAGACAAGTTTTCCTTGATGCTTGAGAATAAAGAGAGACGTGTCTGATAGAGAGTTTTGAAAACCTGAGACGATCAAGAATGATCTTAGCTCCGAGTACCAGGCCTGCGGTGCTTGTTTCAAGCCGTAGATAGCTTTGTTCAGGCGACAAACATGTGTAGGGCGATTAGAGTCAGTGAACCCAGGGGGTTGAGCCATGAAGACCTCTTCATTCAAGCGTCCCTGAAGAAAAGCCGTATTGACATTAATCTGTCTAATTGGCCAATCAATGTTTACTGCTAGACCCAAAATAATTCTTATCGTCGTCACTTTGATCACGGGACTGAAGGTATCATTGTAGTCAATACCTTGTTGTTGGTGATAACCCTTTGCACAATCCGAGCCTTGTACTTAGTAATGCTCCCATCAGGGTTATACTTGATCGTGAAAACCCAACGACATCCCACTATGTTCATCGTCTCTGTAACAAAAACAAGATCCCATGTCCGATGTTCTGTATTTGAGTGGAATTCCGAGCTCATGGCTTTCCTCCAGTGCTCATGTTTGATTGCTTGTTGCCATGTAGAAGGAATCCAGTGTAGATCATTTAGAAGAGACGCTGTGAGATTGTACCTGGTAACCGGTTTTACAATGTTATTGCGTGATCGAGTTGTCATGGAGTGTCGTGGAGCTTCCTGTTGTGGTTCTGGTGGAACAACTTGTGGTGAGTGAGATGGAGCATGAGATTCTGCTTCTGGAGACTGAGCTATATCAGTTGGAGAAGACGCTGCAGGTGTTGTTGCTGTCACCGGGGAAACAGAGGAAACGACTGCCGACAGTGTTGGTGAAGGATCACTACAGGAGTTACGGTTGTCCAGGGATACCGTAGGAGATTGTATGAGTGACGAAGGTACATGGACGGTAGTGAATGGTGGAAAAAAAGAGGTGGGAACAGAGTCAGTTGGGACTGGGGACGACGGTTTGGTGAGGTGAGCAAAAGGAAATTGGGGTTCATTAAATTTCACATGGCGAGAGATATAGATACGCCCAGAGGCTGGTTCCAGGCATTCATAAGCACTTTGAGTTAGGGAATATCCTACAAAGACACAAGGGCTTGAGCGATTTTCAAGTTTATTTGGGGGCATAAGGTCTCAACCATGGGAAACAAAGACAGCCAAAGGTTTGTAGTTTACTGTAGTTTGGTGGAATGCCAAAAAGCTTTTGGTAAGGGGATATATTGGATAAGACGGGTGTGGAGAGTCTGTATATGAGAAAAACAGCAGTGGCAAAGGCTGGGGGCCAGTAAGTGAGAGGAATGTGAGCAGAGGACAGAAGAGATAAACCAGTCTCAACGACATGTCTGTGTTTCCTTTCAGACATACCATTTTGCTGAGGAGTATGTGGTGGAGTAGTAAGATGAGAGATTCCTTGGGTAGCAAGAAAGTGGCGAAGTGCTATAAACTCCCCACCATTATCAATATATAGGTTACGAAGTTTGGTTTTGAACTTGGTTTCGGTTAAGGGTGTAATGAAGATCTCTTTGACTTGAGATTTAGCTGTGAGTGGAAAGAGCCATGTATATCGAGTATTTATACAGTATTCTGTGTAGGTTAAATACAGCTATTGAGTATTTACAAATAGAGCCTCAGACTATAGTATATTTCCTTAACATTTTATGCCATTTTCCCATTCCTAATATATTCATTTCTTATTTTTTATTTGTTTCTAGTTACATTTTTTTTTTGTGATCTGTTATTAGAAAACTTATAAGCCAAAAGACAAGTTACATATATACTCTCGTAATGAAATGACATCATAATCTAGAGCAAACAATTTAGAGATACAATCATAGAGCCATAAGTTGGTGATTACACATATACAATCCCGGAGACAATATTTGAACTACCATACACGAATAACAAGAACATAGAAGTCAAAGCACAATAATCCTAAATAAGAGTCAAACCCAGCCATAAAGAGAACAAACCGGAAGATAGTTTATGTAAAACCGTTGATGTAGATTGTGGGGAAAAGTACTTATTCCTACCCAAACAATTTCAGTCGTGCCAAATACAACCTGAACAAACTGTCAGTGCCAAATACGATTTGAACTTTATTATAATTCAAAAAACTACCTAAACTTTTTAAAACGTGCATAAACCTACATTGATTGTAACAAAAGTTAGTCAACTGTTATAATGATAAAATGACGTCATTTTGATTTCGTTATTTTTTTTTAAAAATATGCACATTCTAGGACTCGAACCCGTGCCTTGTCACTCTTCAAAACGGACACATCAACCATTAGACTAAATCAACTTTTTCAAATAATACTACAAATTTGCAATTATATATGCTACTATACTTTTTCATCTTCTCTAATTAAAACATGGTTATTATTATTTTTGATGCTTATAAATATATTAACATGTTTTTAATTATTATATCTTTAATAAACTTATATTCTACTAAAATATTAATAATAAAATATTTAGAATTATATAAAATAAATATATTTCATGTTTTGCAACTATTTACAAAATGTCCATATATAAATTATTTAAAAAAATTTAAAACTTGAATGGTAATTTCTTTTATTTTGGCAAAGTATATTCAACTTATATTAATTTTGGCAAAGTACTTTCGAGAGATGGAAGATTGAAGCCTAGACTCAGGGGGAGTTTAGAAAAGGCGGTTTTATTGAAGAGGTTTGTGAAGATTGCAGCTGTAGAAGACAGTGTGCTCTGGCGCGCCCAGATGGTGTTGTATGTATGCGTGCTGATACCTAATCTTTGTAGATTGCTTCTTAGAAAAGAGTGGTAAACACTAGTGTGTGTGTTGTACCATATAGCAATTGTAGGTTGCTCCTTGTTCTAAGTCAATAAAATCTGGGCTGAGTCCCGGGGATGTAGGAAACGAACCCCGTTAACAAATTTGATGTGTCTTACTTTCTGCACTATGTTTTTTGTCGCCTCACCTATATCAACAAGTAGTATCAGAGCGGGTCACCTAATTTACTGGTGAGATCATGGAGGATGAGGACGAAATCTGGTTCAGGAAGAAGGACAGAGTTTGTATGAATACCGATGAGGATGGTGTGATGGGATTTCTTCTTTAGTTTGGAAGGTGGTGATATTCGAGTTGGTTTTTGACCATGATGTGACTCATAGGGGGAGATTGAAGACGTGGTTTTCAAGCTCGTTATGATGAGTGCACATGCATAGTCAAAAAGGGGGAGATTGAAGATGTAATTTGTTGAGATGTTATGTGTCAGTTCGTGAAGTACTACAGGAGGTAGTACATGTGTGTATGTCATGAAGATGGGCTAAGCTGGAGTTCGTGTTTTGTGATGGGTGTGGACTTGATGAGCTTGGAAAAGGAAAGAAGATATGTGACATAAGACATATGGACGTTTTCCATAAAGCAAAAGAGAGTTTGCTTGAAGATGAATTTTTCCATTAAGAAAAATGGAAAGTTACCTTATGCGTATTGGAAAGACTTGGAGAGCAAGGGGAAGACTTGGAGGGCGAGTTAAAGACGTGGAGAGTAAGTTCTGGTCTGCTATATAAGGAGGTACATGCCTTATGAGAAAGCTAGACCTCATAGAAGAGAGAGAGAGGTTTCCTTGGTGTGTGTTACTGCTTGGCGTCGAAGCAGTGTCTGAAATAGTTTCCGATGGAGTCCGATGTGGACTTAGTTTGATGGCGTTCGTGGTGAAGTTTGGTATGGTGGAGTTAGCAATCGTGTGTAGCTCGTGGTGAGTTGTGTGTGTGCTTGGGTGATCAAGCGTTTTGGTGTCCTTGGTGTGCGTTGGGTGCTAACGTACTTGGTGAAGTACTTTCGAGAGATGGAAGATTTAAGCCTAGACTCAGGGGGACTTTAGCAAATGCGGTTTTATTGAAGAGGTCTGTGAAGATTGCAGCTGTAGAAGACAGTGTGCTCTGGCGCGTCCAGATGATGTTGTATGCATGCGTGCTGATACCTAATCTTTGTAGATTGCTTCTTAGAAAAGAGTGGTAAACACTAGTGTGTGTGTTGTACCATATAGCAAGTGTAGGTTGCTTCTTGTTCCAAGTCAATAAAATATGGGCTGGGTCCCGGGGATGTAGGAAACGAACCCCGTTAACAAATTTGATGTGTCTTACTTTCTGCACTATGCTTTTCGTCGCCTCATCTACATCAACAATCCGACCCTCACGCTCCACCACCTAGGGCTCGAAACGAGACAAAAAAAGAGATCTGAAACTTATGTCTCGTTAATGGCCCCCCAAAGATCCAACCGCATCCGCTTTCTTGGCTCATGAACCTCGTTGCCACGCTAGGAGGAGACAATTTCAAAAAGAAATCCGGACTAGACCCATATCTGAAAACTTAGATCTACTATCACTCTTAAGGTCTTGTACATATCAAAAATGAAACCGAGAGAAATGATGAAGTAAAAATGAAAACAAAATAAGAGAAAAGAGAACCATTGGTGCCGACGCTGTTAACAACCAACTGTCGGAGGAATTGGATCGCTTGGAAAGTTTAGAGAGATAAAATTATTATAAAGATAAATTTCAGATTCATAATGAGCTAATACACAAAAGTTGGATTTCTTTCTTCTAAGAGCATCTCCATAAAAATACACTCTATTTTAGAGTTTGCAAAACTCTATTCATATGAAGTTTGTAAGTGTTATGCTCCAAAAGCAAAACTTTAAACGTAATTTTAAAACTATTTGTATTTTATATTATGGTCCTTATATTTGTCATAACTAGTTTAAATTCATAGACCTTTTATAAATAAATAGTACATACATAAAAATATTACAGCAATATTAAATGATAAAATGTTACATAAAAATATGAAATTATTAATAAAATTATATAATTAAATATTGAACTATAAATAAAATACCACATTAAGTCTTGTAATAGTGTTATTGTCTTTCTCTAATGTTAATTATTTTAAATTTTATCTTGTTGTTTTTAAAAAAATATGTGTAAATTTAAATTTATAAAAAAAATTGAAATATTTATGAGATAGGAACTTTTAAGGGTTAAAATGATAAACCATAAAATATATAAGAATTATAAATATAATGTATAATTACAAGGATCCAAATGCAAATAAAAATATGAAATTTCAAATTTGATGTTTTGAGTAGTGACACTATATTTGAATATGCATCATTATGTTGAAAATTTTATGATTAGTATTTTTTTTTTTTGAGCAACAATTTTATGGTTAGTATAAATAAATATTATAAAGGGAAAAACAGCGATTTTAGAAGTTCACGAGAAAGTTTCTCATCAGGCTGTGTGGTTTTTATGACCACTTCTAGTTCTACTTGTGTGATGGTTTCTCCAGTGATACGTTCTTATCATAAGCCATTAAATTAAAGTTGCTTACGTCAGACGCTTTGTTTAATGTCGATAATTATTGTAAAAACTGGGTAGGAGTTGAATGGATCCTATTCACTCAATCTCTAAGTTTTAACTTTTAACCACTTTTCTCCCAATTTGAATTTGAAAAAAGAAGAAATAGAAGTATTTTGTTTTATTAACCTTCAAATTTGTCCAAAAAATTGACTTTTTATTTTGCTCAAACAAAAAAAGAAATAACCTTTTTGTAATGTATTTTCATTAATTTTTAAGAAAACTATAAAATATAAATAACTTTTTATTAAGTACAAGTTGAGAAATGCGATTATTTATTCCATTTAGTATACATGACTATTATATTTTAATCTAAAATATATAGTAAAAATAGCAACTAATATTTTATAATAAAAATGTTTATGAGTTTGAAAAATAAATATTTAAATAATATCATTCAAATACAGCTAAGTTAACTTTTTTTTTAATTTTCTTAGACTGGAAATATTATAGAACCAAAAGTAAAAAGTAAATAAAAAAAAAGGTCGAGAAATGTTTGAATTTCTTTTTTGGCGATTTAGAATTGACTGGTAAAATAAATGTCGACATACAAAAGGACTTGAGGTGGACCCCTACGGTTAGACGCAACGGATTCTGAACCTCTCTACGGCCGTTTGTTTTCTTCTCTCTCTTTCTTCCAAGCTTTAGCCATGGTCACCCTCTTGTAACCATCTCTTATCTTTCTTTTTCTTTTTGTTTGTTTCAGCCAAGCTTCTCCCTCTTGTCGCAGTTTCTTCCAGCTTCTCAAGCATTCTCATCTCTGAAGCTGAACTAAGGTACGTGCATTGCAAACCCTAGCTACTTTTCAAGAAAAATGTTTACTGTTTCTGTTAACTACGGAGATTCTTGGTTAGAAACATTGAACTTTCTTCAAGGTTTTTTAACGGAATCGAGCTTTGTATTTTTGTTTTCCGTTTTCTAGGGTTTCGAGATTCCGTTTTTTTTTTTGTTGCTCACGCGCTTTATCTTGATTCGAATCTAGATTCCTCATGGCGAAGAGATCTGACACTTCCCCCGCGGCTCTCGGATCCGATGCGGCTGACAACAACCCTCCTCCTGCTCCCGCTCCCGCTCCCCTCGCCGACGCCTCACCAGCAGCCAGTGCTTCCCAGAAACGCGGCCGTGGTCGTCCCCCCAAGTCCAAATCCGACTCCCACCCAAACGGCGCCGTTTCACCTCAGCCGGCCAGGAAGCCAAGCGCTCGCCCGAAAAGAAACGCTACAGCGGCGGCGGCGACTGTTCCGGCTGCGTCTGCGGCGGCGGTTGTGAAGAGCGGCCGTGGTAGGCCAAGGAGGTCCAAGGCTCTGCCTGCGGCGGAGTCTGTGACTGGATCGAGAAAGCGTGGGAGGCCGAAGAAAGATGACGTGGCGGCTGCGGCGGCTCCAGCTCAGAAACGTGGACGGAAACCTAAAACTGAGCAAGTGGCCAAGCAGAGGACTTCGAAGCGGATGAGGAAGGTATGTATATCTCTTTATTCATAAAATTATTAAGCATACTGTCTTTATTCGTGATAATATGTTTGTTTCTTCCACTAGAGTAATATGTTATTTGGATCTGCTCTATAATGTGATATGCTTATAAATGTGGTATCTTTATCTTGAATATTGGTGGTTCTGTGTTAAGTTTGTTTCTTTGTATAATGTTAAAGTTGCTAAATATATATATATATATATCACTCCAGTTTACATGTATTTATGTGGTATCTTTGTTGTGGATTCTCTGTGAAAATGCAAGTGGTTGGTTCGTTTGGTAAGTCGTTATCATCTATTCATCTGTCATATGAGTCAATGTATCTACAAGTATATAGTTCATATAACCCATGCTTATGCAAATGTGTATGCTTATGTCAAACTTGGTTTTTCCATGGGTGAAGGCAACAACAGAGGCTACTACTGGGCATGGAGCTGCAGACCCCAAAGAGTTGAAGAAAAAAGTCGCGCTCTTGGTATGTTAATTACTCCCACTTAGCTTCTATAGTAATATTGGCTTACGTTTCTGTATTCATTTGCCATCAGTTTGGTTTAAGACATTATACGTCGTGTGGGATGGGATCTCAAAAGTATTCTAGGAACTATGCTTCGACATGGTTCTAGTTTAATGTTATTTCGCTTTGAGTGGAGAGTGAATGATCATTTGATTAGTTACAGTCTCATGATTATTTTACTAAAATAGTAAACAAATAAACATATACCTAGACGATCTCATGATTATTTTGTTTGTTTTGAAATGACAAATGGTTGCAGCAAAAGAAAGTGAAGCAAGCTGCGGTTAAGTTGCAAATAGCAGTTTCAGCAATCGATGAGGTCCAGAAGATAGCGGATGGAATGTAGAAGCTTTGGTTCGTTTGACTCAGGAGAAGAATCTTATGTTTGTTTGTTTCAGGGAAACCATTTGTTTGGAGAAATAAAAGACTAATTGCGTTGAAGTTTGAAATTTTCGATTTAGGTTTGTTTGTTTGTTTGTACGGTCGTCGGTAGGAATGGTAAGAGAACAGCTAGTGTTAATGGGTTCGTACGCTTTGATGATATTATCTTGTGTAGCTGTGACTTTGAGGTGCTTTGACACTTTTGCATTCAACTCTTGCGTTCTGAATTGAATTACTTTCTCGGGAATCTCTTCTTACAAGGATCTTTGCTTATTAGAGACGTAAAAGATTTTAATAGCCTTGTTATGAAAATCTCAAATTAGGGATTCCGTTATATCCTCTGGGTATTCAATAGTTTATTATGAATTTGTGTTATATAAACAGAATCTTAGTATATAGTGATGATTTGCTTTATTGAATCGTCTTAACAACATTTTCGGCCTATCGTCCAAACGACCATTACGTTGCTTCACCATTAAAATCAGTAAATAACACAAAACCTCTTTCTTCTTCTCTCAAAATCAAATGCGATGCTTGGGAACAAAACGACTAGAGGAGCTTCTTCGTACTCTCTCTCAGAATCAACATACATCCTTCAAACCCAGTTTCAACGCAAAAAAGGAAGCAACTTTTCACTCTTCAACACAGAAAACTCAAACCCAACTCCAGAAACCGCAGAGCAAATCCGGAGACGACGATATAAAACAATGGAACGTGGCTATAAGCAGCTACATGCGCAACGGACTTTGCTACGAAGCGCTTCGTATCTTCGACCGCATGCCCAGACGGAGCTCCGTTTCTTACAACGCCATGATCTCTGGTTTCTTACGAAACGGTGAGTTCGAGACCGCCCGGAAGATGTTCGACGAAATGCCTGAGAGAGATTTGGTTTCATGGAATGTGATGATCAAAGGGTATGTCCGGAACAGGAACCTTGGGAAAGCGAGGGAACTGTTTGAGAAGATGTGGGAGAGAGATGTCTGTTCGTGGAACACGATGTTGTCTGGATACGCTCAGAACGGGTGTGTTGATGAGGCGAGGAGAATCTTTGATCGGATGCCTGAGAAGAACGAAGTGTCTTGGAACGCGTTGCTCTCTGCTTATGTTCAGAACGGGAGGATGGAGGAAGCTTGTGTGTTGTTTGAGTCTAGGGAGAATTGGGCTTTGGTTTCTTGGAACTGCTTGCTTGGTGGGTTTGTCAAGAAGAAGAAGATTGTTGAGGCAAGACAGTTTTTTGATGGTATGAATGTGAGAGATGTGGTTTCATGGAATACTATCATCACTGGTTATGCACAGAACGGGAAGATTGATGAGGCGAGGAAGCTGTTTGATGAGTCTCCTCTTCAGGATGTTTTTACATGGACAGCAATGGTTTCAGGGTATGTACAAAACCGTATGGTGAAAGAAGCGAGAGAGTTGTTTGACAAGATGCCTGAGAGGAACGAAGTATCATGGAACGCCATGCTTGCAGGATATGTGCAGAGCGAGAGAATGGAGATGGCAAAGGAGCTGTTCGATGTGTTGCCTTTTCGCAATGTTAGTACATGGAACACGATGATAACTGGATATGCTCAATGCGGGAATGTTACTGAAGCTAAGAACCTTTTTGACAAAATGCCTAAGAGAGATCCGGTATCTTGGGCTGCTATGATTGCAGGGTACTCGCAAAGCGGACATGGATATGAAGCTCTTCGGTTGTTTGTACAAATGGAGAGAGAAGGCGGGAGGTTGAATCGTTCTTCCTTCTCATCTGCTCTAAGCACGTGTGCAGACGTTGTTGCTCTTGAGCTCGGGAAGCAGTTGCACGGAAGATTGGTTAAAGGTGGATATGATAGTGGGTGCTTTGTTGGGAACGCGCTTTTGTTGATGTATTGCAAGTGTGGAAGCATAGAAGACGCCAATGACTTGTTTGAGGAGATGACTGGGAGAGACATAGTCTCTTGGAACACAATGATTTCAGGTTACTCAAGGCATGGGTTCGGAGAAGAGGCTTTAAGGTTCTTTGAGTTGATGAAGAGACAAGGACTGAAGCCAGATGATGCTACCTTGGTTGCTGTATTATCTGCGTGCAGTCACACAGGACTTGTAGACAAAGGCAGGGAATATTTCTACACGATGACTCAAAATTATGGTGTAACACCTAACTCACAGCACTACGCTTGTATGGTAGATCTTCTTGGTCGAGCTGGGCTTTTAGAAGAAGCTCACAGTGTAATGAAAGAAATGCCCTTTGAGCCAGACGGTGCAATATGGGGAACTTTACTTGGTGCAAGCAGAGTCCATGGAAACACAGAGCTAGCTGAAATAGCTGCTGACAAGATCTTTGCAATGGAGCCTGAGAATTCAGGAATGTATGTTCTTCTCTCAAATCTATACGCATCTTTGGGTCGATGGGGAGATGTAGGTAAGCTGCGAGTGAGGATGCGTGACAAAGGAGTCAAGAAAGTGACAGGGTACAGCTGGATTGAGATACAGAACAAGACACATACTTTCTCGGTCGGGGATGAGTTCCACGCCGAGAAGGACGAGATCTATGCGTTCATGGAGGATCTTGATTTGAGGATGAAGAAAGCAGGGTATGTTTCGAAGACGAGTGTGGTTCTTCATGATGTGGAAGAAGAAGAGAAGGAGCGTATGGTTAGGTACCATAGCGAGAGACTGGCTGTAGCGTATGGGATAATGCGTGTGTCTCCAGGGAAACCGATACGTGTGATAAAGAACCTGCGTGTGTGTGAGGATTGTCATAATGCCATCAAGTGTATGGCGAAAATCACTGGGAGAGTGATTATTCTGAGGGATAATAACAGGTTTCACCATTTTAAGGATGGTTCATGCTCTTGTGGAGACTACTGGTGAACTGATGATGATTCCATCTAATGGCCAGTGAGCAACCAGATGGAAATGGCTTTTGTCTTGGTTTTGCAGAAGGAAGTGTCGTGCATGGTGTGTGTGAGTCTCTCTCGCTTATAAATAAACTTGAAGTTAGAGTATATCCTCGTTACAGACTAAGCTAAGCCAGTCAGCTGCTGACTACTCATTTTGACACTCCTGTCTGGGGATGACTAAAGCTTTGTTCAGATTGGTTTTATGGTTAATATTGTCAGCTAGAAGCTTTTAAGGAATCGTTGATTCTGCTTCTGATAGAGAGCAATATATAAGAAGAATTAACATATTTTCTGTGTCACATAAAGAAAATGGAATTTTATCATAGATCTAAGAAGCACTGACTTACAATTGTCAAACTGATTCAAAAAAATAGTAAGAAGTCTTCGAGAAATAATGTAGGAACATGTATCAGATAATAATCACATCTAGTTAATGAAATAATTACAAATAATGTGTATATGCTAGCAAAGGAGCAACCGTGTGGAGAAATCAAATCAAATCCGGCACGAAGCAACAACCCAAAAGACAGATCTTCGAATCTAATATTAACGACTGAAAGATAAAGGAAACTTATGGAATTAATTAATTCTTAATTATTGAAACTGTAGTATACAACACGGTTAAAAAATTCCAACGGCTATAAAATGGACAAAGAAAAAAGAAAAGTAATAGATCAAAAAGGAAATTAAAAACGATTAGCAGAATCTATAAATATACACTAACCCTAAACCTTGATCAAGCTTAATCACTCACAATTTTCTTCTCGATCTGCTACTTTTGTTTTAGCCATGAATTCTTTTTCTTTTTCTTTGATAACAAAGAAGAAATATAACAACCCGAAAGACACACAGATTTTCAAATCTATTAAGAAATGAAAGATTATAAAACTTATGGAATTAATTGATTATTTAATTATTAAAATTTTTATTAAAAAATCCCAACGGCTATAATAAAATGGGAAAAATGGAAATTATGAAATGATATAAAAGAAAACTAATACGTCAAAAACATGAAATCGATTATCAGAATCTATAAATATACACACAATTCTTGATAAACAAAAAAAAAACTCACAATTCTCTTCTCTCTCCGTACACTCTCGAAGTTATTTTTGTTTTTTTGCGATCGATTATCTTTGTCTTCTGCTTGTTCGACAAAGATGAAGAAGAACAAGCTCTCTGTCAGAAACCAACCTGTTTCAAGAAATCATTCTTGTTGTTTAGAGAGAAGACCATTCTAAAGAAAGCTTTAAAGCTCTCAATCCTCTGCGGGTTCGAAATCTGTGTGATACATTACCATCGTGAAGGAAATTTCGTCAACGCTTACCCTAACTTGTTTATGCAATTAATTAATTAATTATTTAACGGTTAAAAATTCACAACGGCTATATGAAATAGAGGAAAAAATGGAAATTACCGTGTAACAAAAAAATGGAAATTATTAACGGTACGATAAAATCTATAAATACAGACAGTACTAAACAACCTTGGTGGTCACACGCTACTAATCACTCACAATTCTCTTCTTCTCTCGTTAAAGTTCTCAGAAAGATTTTGTTTTGGCCATGGATTCTCTTTCTTGCTCTTCGACAAAGATGAACAACAACAACGACAAGCTCTCTGTCAGAAACAAGACTCGCTTCAAGAACACCAATTTGATCACAAGACAAAAGACCATTCTCAAGAAGGCTTTAGAGCTCTCCGTCCTCTGCGATAACGAAATTTGTGTCATCCATTACGATCTTGAAGGAAATCTCGTCGAAACTTATCCTGAAGAACAGAGCAAAGTTAACGACATTCTCGACAGGTATAACAATCTAAGCGACAGAGAAAAAATCAAGAAAAACACGAATCTTTCTCAGTTTTGTAACAAGAAACTCGTTGACGAGAAGAAAAGATCTCTTACTAACGCAGAGGAACACAAAAAGTTCACAAAGAAAGTTGGAGAGTTCGAGGGTTTTTTGATTGATCAGTTTCATATATTACAAGACAGGTTTCGTGATCTTTCTTATTCCCAGGATGATCAACAACATCAGACCACATCCGAGCGTGATCAGAGCCCTTTTCTTGATGTTAGGTCTGTAAAAGATCACAACTTTCCGGCGTCTTCTGGCTTCACCCTCGCCAATGACTTGTCTTCTTCACTAATCGAGGAGAATCCATTGATGAATTTTAGACCGTACGATCTTGATCAACAACAACAAGAGACAGGATCGTTAATGAATCTTCTCATGAGTGGTGATCATCATGTGTCTGCAAGTACCGATCAACAATACCTCCTGAGCCCTCCTGCTTCTTCTTCCTCAACCACATGTTCGTTGAATCAACAACAGAGCAAATTCTCAGTCTTTGTGTTTAACCACGAAACGGCTACGTTTACTCAACTTCCCAACTCTGTTTCTCCAAGATTTGACCAAGGGTTGACTCCGTATACCAACAATCTCAGTACAGGTTTACATGGGGCACAAGGGTCGAACTTTGTGTATGACCACAATCTCAACGCACAAGGGTTCAACTTTGGGTGCAGCAACAATCTTAACACACAAGGCTTTAACTTCGGGTGCAACAACAATCTCTGTACATGACTGAGCAATGAAGGCACTCCAGCCTCGTTTTGATCCTCACAGACACCACAATGGAACTCTTATTGATCAACACATAGCTTCTGATTAATTCATCTTATTAATCAATTGTGTATTACTCTCTTTTTTTTGTGTGTGTAAATCTCTGGAAACCAAGTGCTTATTTCTATATATAATATGTATGCCTTTTAACATTGATTCTTCTTTCAAGTTCCACTTTTATATTAGATATTTCTCGTAGTATTCAGTAAGGTGTAAAGGGTTTCTTTGTGGATCCATGTAAGAGCTTCATTTACCCATAAAGATACCCTAGAAGTGGCTTCAGCGAAGAGTTGCTATTTCCACTCCCACATTGTGACTTTCATCTCCTTAATTATTAGACTTGCTTTTGTAAGGCTTCGACATACTTTTTCTGTTTATCAGATCTCAATCCCAAAACAAAAAAAAAGATACTCCAAGGCATGGACAATGGCAGAAAGATGGAATCTCGCCTTCACAAGTCTATGAGAGTCTCTCCAATTGCCTTCTTTACGTAACATGTGAACCTTGTCTAATGTGTGCATCGGCCTTGTTGTTTCTCGTATGATTCCTATATCTCAAGTATAAATTATTGTTACTATTATTATGTATTGTTCCTGATGAGATATTATATGATCTTGTTGAAGGTAAAAAGGAAGTGTATTATGGATGTGCAATACGATAAGTTTGGTTCCATATTGTCGCTTCATTCAGGGAGTTCTAATATCAGGTAGGTCTTATGATCATTAAGAGCACCTCAGTTAGATCAAGATGGAGTTCTCATAATTAATTTATTAAAAGTAAATAGAAAACAGAAGAGTGAGTGATACTTTATGTCTCGGTATGTCTGCAGAGATGTTTTATAACCCCTTAAAAACCTCAACATATAAATGTCACATTTTTATTGGTTTAGTTTTACTAAGAAAAATAAAATTTTAATTGTATAACAAAATTGTACCAAAATATTAACAGAAAATGGTTGAGAATCTTTAGTGGAGTATTAGCCGATAAGACTGCTCTAAGAACAGCATTATCGCTGACTCTTATTAAAGCCCTTAGATTAAAAAAAAATTAAAAAAAGTAAAGGTGAAGAGTCGTGCCATAGAGCATGTGCAACGGTAGAAAAAAAAGAAATCTTTAAGCTTGAATCCTTAATGCTTTAGGAATAAAATAATATTAACTTATCTCACTTTATCAAGGATTGATCCTTAATTAAGGGCTAATAAGACCATGATTATCGGGGGACTTTAATGAGTTTCTTAACTTAATTTGGTGATTTAATTAAATGAAAAATCAATAAAAGAGAGATAGTCGATCCTTAATGTGTTACTTTCGTTACCGATTATTAGAGTGGTTTCAAAACCACCACGTGTCAGCCTCATCTTTTTCTATTTTTTTTCTTTTTCTTTTTCTTTTTTTTTCTTTATTTCTTTTTTTTTTCTTTGTTTCTTTTTCTCACCGTTTTGGTCTTTTTTTTGTCCGGGAGAGGACAAGGATCCCAACCGACGACGAACCGAAAGATGTCGAACATGTTTTTAGAGTCTTGCAAGTTCACTTTGCCATTGTTAAAAACTCAATACTTTTTTTGGGATACAGCCAAAATTGAGAAGATTATAATTAAGAGCATGTATCTCCATAATATAATGGTAGAAGACGAACGAAATAGATACATTCATATTGATGTTTCAGAGTTTCAACAACCCGAGGATAATAGAAGTTCACATGTCGATCTCACTTATTCTACCGATATCTTTACAAATATTATCAATATGATGGTGCTCGAACTAAAATTCGTGATAGACAAATGCATCAAACCTGAAAGCTGATTTGGTTGAACATATATGACGTAAATTTGGACGTGCTGAAGATAATAACTAAGGTCAGATGTTTTTTTTCAAATTATTCTCGATTATTATACTAATCTTTTGTTTTTTAAATGTTATCTTTTAATAATATATTTTACCAAATAAATAATTTTTATCTTTTAAAAAATATTAAATTTTTTTTAAGAATCTCTAATTAAGAAACCTCCCATTGGACTACTTAAAATGATAGTTCTTAACTAGAGTTTCTTAAGTCCACTAAGTACATTTATATAATTAAACAATCTTAAGAAACACACTTTAAGAAACTTGGGATAAACATGCTCTAAGGATCAAATCTTTAGTGACGTGGTACTCCCTCTCTCCCTTCGTCCTCCTCCTAAAACTTTCTGCAATCACTCTCCTTGGCTTCTCCTCATCACCAATCACTACCCGATTTGTCCAAGCTCCGTCGTAGTTTCCGATCAGACGCGGCCCTCGAAGCCGGCTCATCTCTACCACTCTCGTCTCCGTATCCCCACTCTCATCTTACCCTTCTCTTCTGTCGTATAAAGATCTCTCCTTGGAGAGGTTTGAGAGGTGTTACCTTCTCGATTTCGTTGCTCCTACGGATTTTGCTGCTATAACTACATATTGCGAGTAATGTTTTAGACTTTAGTAATGATTTAGTGTTTAAAGTTTTGATCTTTAAGGTTTAGATTTAATCTTTGTGTGTTGGTGGTTTAGGATTATATGTTTTGATCATTGGAAGTCAGCAGCTTTGGAGATTGGTTTGGTAAAGAAGAGGTTTAATGTTAATGTTGATGTTGACAAGAGTAGCTCAAAGGCTGTGTATGAATATTTCTCAAGTAAACTCATGTCTTCAGAGGTTAGTTAGGACTTTGGTAATGATTTAGTAAATGGCTCTGCTTTTGATTGGTGTGTAGGTTTAACGATTTAGTAAATGGCTCTGCTTCAGAGGTTAGTTAGGACTTTGGTAATGATTTACTTGTTTTGTTTCTGATATAGGTTACTTGTTTAAGGTGTGTGATGGAGCAACCACGGTTCATATTCAGGATTGCTGGGGATTGGATGATGCTTCTTTCAGCTTGGTTAAAGCTTTCAGGTATCGTTTTACATCATGATCCTATCAATAGCTTCTTTGAGATTACAACATGTAGTTTGGCTTAATTCAACCATCAAAAATTAAAATTGGTATTCATGTTTTAAACTAAACTGTAACTTGTATGAAGCAGTGGTACTAGCAGTATACTAGAATAGGCTTTTAAGCTAAACAAAGATATACATTGATCTACATGTTTCACAATCTTAACTTGCAAGATCCATCAACATACATCATGATCAGACTGTATTATGTTTCTTGCAGGCTTCCCAATCTGTAAACAATCAATAGGAGGAAGAGTAGGAGGGATGAGCTCACCAAGCGTCTGCCAACAAAAAGGATCAGACATATGATACTTTTCTTGAACCGGCTTAAGCTCAATTGCAGTTAACTGCACATCAATGCAAGGGAAGTTATCACTGCAAGCGAAATGAACCGGTTTCACGGTATAAGTGCCTTTGATCCTCTCGTAGGTCACTCCTTCCACGGTATAAGAAACGAAGAAGTCATGTACCTCAACGTCGATGCAGTTATCGAATTTGAGGTGACATGAGGACTGTTTTGGATTGTTATACCAGACACTTCCACGCCAATACTCCCAAGATAACAAAAATTTAAATTTTACATGTTTTATAATTTTTTTTTATTTCTAAGGATTCCTAATTAAGTAACACCATTGGACAAACATTTTTGATTAGAGTCTTAAACTATTCAAAAAAACACTAAAATAAGGCTAATGACTCCATAATGGTGGACTCCATTGTGGATGCTCTTACGTAAGGCTTAGAAGAGTTAGCTCTTACGTAAGTGTACACGTGTAGGAAAACGAGAGGTGTATTTGGTTTCTTCTTTCTCTTGGTCGGAATGGATTTCTCGTGTCGCCAGTAGCTGCTCCTCCACGCCATTTCCCGCGGCGGTTCCGTCTGTGAAGCCTGAGTTGTTATGCTCCTTCTTCGGTGGATCAAAGTTGCCATGACTTCCTATGGTTAACCATTTTTACAGCTTGAGCTTGACTGATACTCGGCTCCCGAAGAGACGACTCATGAGTCATCCCAAGAAGAAAAGATTCAAACTTAAACCTCCAGGTTTGTATTTTGATTTAAGGTTCATTGATTGAAGATTGATGTTTTGTTTGTGAAACTAGGGATGAGTGAGGGCTGTGTGATTGAAATCGAGTTACAGTGGTTGAATTCAACTTCTACGGGTTTTAATTGGTTGTGTATGGTATGACAAATTTGAGTGCTTTATGTGGATTTTCTAGGAAAAAAAATAGTGAGCTGAAACTGTTCGGCAAAATGATTGAAAGAAGAATTTATTTTGTGTACAACTCTGGATAATTGCATATGAGAAGTAAGATTGTAGTTTCTTTAGAACATGGGTTCAGTTTATCTGTTCTATGTATGTCTAGATAGCTTTTGACCTTTTAATGGTGATTTAGTCTTGATTCTTTTTGTATTTTTATGTTCCAAATGTCTGATCTTTAGTGCTATTTGCAGATTAGTTCCATGCCGCCAAGATGGAAATGGAGAGGTGGTGAAGCAAAAGCTATTGCAGAACCTATTTCAAAATAAATCTTAGAGCTCCAGCTCTCCCTAGTCAAAACGTTATTATCTTTATGTTTGATTGCTGTATATGACTTTTTGTTAGAGATTTTTGTGTTTGTGTTCAGAGATTTGTGATGAATATGCAGCCTTCAGAGGCAGAAGCTGGATATGATCTAAGGCTGCTTCCAATGGTTGATCCTGATCTTATGAAGAAAAATATTGCTGAGGAATGGGTTCCTTCTATTAGGAACATGACTAGCATGGTAAATATGAAATATTTCCCTTAACCTTAGTGTTTAGGTATTGTGTTGCTATGCAATCTCAACTCTTAATTCCACACTCCATTATGTTGAGATTTGTTTAAGAACCCTAAATTAAAAAATTACCATTGAAGCTAAAAAATTAGGTGTCTCTTAAGTGTGGATTCTTAACTATTACTAGATGCATAGTCCCCGCGCAAGCGCGGGGGTTGGCTACGTTGTTGATGTGTTGTGTAGTTTTGTATATGAGATTTTGTTGTTGTTTTTTTAACATTTGTTTATCTGGCTTATCTATAATGGTGATGAATGAAACATTAGAAGTCACACAACTTGATTAGTCTCATAAAAGAATAAACATCGAATTCATATGGGTTGATATTTTCATATTTTATCTTCGTAATGACTTTATCGAGCATTCCCTTTATTAGTGATTTTATCGAGCGTTACTGTTATTAGTGCTTTCATGTAAAAAAATAATTTAATGGAGACAAGACAAAAAGGGACATGTGTTTATTAGTGTAATTTTCTTTCTGAAATTATGTTGTATATATATATATATATATTTTTTTTTTAATTGTGATGTATATGAGATTTATGGTCGATTTGAATGGTTCGGGGTAAATATTTATTATTGAAAAATATGTTTTTATTTTATTTGATGATCATAACTGAATTGAAATGATATTGGAGGTTATAACATGATAACCTTTCTTATAAAAGTATTTAAGATGGTCTCATAAAGTTTCAAATCCTTAAGCCATTTTGTATCCCAACAACCAGCATAAAAAATCATTATGAATCTCCCTAAGCTTTTAGGTATCCCGAAAATCCTAAATTAAAAAAAAAAATTACATGCAAGCACTGCGTTTCGAACCCGCGCACTCACAGTACCAACTTCTCATCACCAACCTACACCACTGGACCATTTCATCACTCATCAATAACATTCAATGTTACAAAATCTTATACGTTTTTGTTTTTCTTAATAACACACGCGGAGCCCACCAACTTGCTGACGTGGACACGATGAGGAGCTTCAAAAGTGTACTATTATTAGATAGATTAATTACTAAACAATCATTAAGAGTTCAATTTGAGTTTTTAGGGTTAATCATGTTCTAAGGACTTTATTAAGAAACTGCATTTATTCTCCATGTTTTGATAGTGAAAAAGCTCAAAGAGGAAAAAGTGTACAAGTGCAGAGGAGGAATAATGGCAGATGAAGCTGTTTCTCTTTTAAGTGTTTTTATGAACAAGGCAATCTTAACGATAACCACTCTCATCTTCAAAATGCCACACCGCCCGGTAGTTCATTAACAGAGAAAACAGTGAACATGTTCCAAAGGTTGGCGTTTTATAGGATTATGAATTGAATTTTGCTCTATCAAACAGCTAAATTAACATTCAGTTTGAGATGTTGAGTAATAGGGGTGAAACATGTTCCAAAGATTGACGTTTTATAGAGTTACTAATGTTTTTCTACTTTTGGGCAATAAAACATGTGTTATATTTATCTTTGAAAATCTAAAAAATAGGCATTTTACTCCTAATTTGGAGATTTTTTAACTTGACATACTGGTTTTCTCAATGCAGTTACTAAAGTTCATGTCTACCGAGTTGAGAGAATGTGTCCTGGTTAAAGTTTCCACTTAAATGCATTGTTCTTTAAAGATCCACTAGATATTGACCCGCCCTTGAAACTGCAGATATATTTTTTTTATGTTCCATTTTCTTAGAAATTTAATTTTCCTTTATGTGTTTTCTTTGTAATTATATTTTTAGAAAATATATTTTTAAAAAATTATTAGTTAAAATTTTTGATAAGTATATTAAATTTGTGATGTTATGGAACTATATAACTTATGCCTGTAGGTATTTCACACATCAATTCTTTTTGGTGGAGGTATATATATGATTTATAAAATGGGCTTTTTGCAAATTTGACTCAAAACTCCAAGTCAAACACAAAACTAACCTCTTCTTTTGACTCATCTTGTTTTTGTCCTATTCACCCCACATCTTCATTTTATTTACGAAAATGCCATTTATATGTTTTTTGAATTTTTTTTCGAAAATGGCATTTTTACTCTCTCAACCTCATCATCTTCAAGTATTTACAACA